GGCCAGCGCCACGTGGAGGTGGAGCCCGGAGCTCCCTGCAGACCCAGCTCAGCCACTGTTGTGTCTGGGTCCCCTCCGCAATGGCACTGCAGCGTGGGGTCCTCCCTGCCTGGCCCCCAGGAATGCAGCCCTGGGCCAGGAAGGGGTGGTCCAGGAGTACCACAGTGAGGGTCACAGTGAAGGGTCCCTGCCGCCCCTTGCTGCGCTGCAGGAGAGCGACTTTCCCTCCTCACCTTCCCACAGTGTAGGACGGCCCGCCTGGTAGAGCCATTCAGAGCTGCAGACAGCTTGATTTATCCCAGCTCTGTTCCTAAATGGTTGCTAATTTCTCACTGCAGGGGAATTCTGTTTCTGGGTGAGTCAGCATAACCCTGCACAGGGCAGACAGCCTGCTGACGCTGCCTCACCGTGGCACTAGTGCCGCATGGCTGTGCCCAGGGTCCTGGGCAGAGTGGCAGGGAGACAGTGTGCCCTTTTGCAGATCTTGCATCGGAGAGCGTGGGGGGTCCCCTCCCCTGGGTCCTTCATGTGCCTGGCCTGATGCTACATGCGTGTAGCTGGCTGCCTGGCAAGGACACCGCACGCCTTGGTACACTGTGTCTCCGTGATTGCTTCCCATCTGACAGACGTGGAAGTGGTGCGGAGGCTGAGCTTTCCTTATCTGCTCTTGGTGCATCCGGCACAAGGATGTTGCTTGTGCAAAGAGCCAGTGTGTTCTACGGAGGGCTGGGCTCTTATTCCACACATCCTCAGGGACACAAGGGGCTGGTGAGGCCGGAGAGCCCAGAGCCCTCCTCAAGGGCTGCAGAGGAAGAAAGTGGCCCTTAGCCACCCCGGGGATCAGGGCAGCTCGTGCCCTCTGTGGGCATCCCTCACAGAGTTGATTTGCTCGACTTGCATCTCCACTTTTGCCCGAGTCACCCAGGCCACCCCCTAGTCCCTGCCACAGTTGCTGAGGGAACCCACTTCCTGTTGGTCATAGATGGCAGCGCTTGCCACCTACTATGCATGGGCACCCCGACCACCACGAGCAGAAGTGCCCTCCGCTCCCCTGCGGTTTCTCCCAAGCTTCCCCAACACTTGCACCGGCGTTTCTCTCTGTCCTTTCTGTACTGTGTGCAGACAGTTCCTTTCTCCTGCAGCCCAAAGCACGTGTAGCCAGGTAGTTTCTACATAGGTGTAGCTTCCTGGTTACTGTGTTTGTTTATCAGTGGGCTGGGGACTTGGCAGTGTCCGTTTTGAAGCTGGTCTTTGACTCACAGCCAGCAAAGGCTCCTGGAGAGGCCCCTGGGTATCACAGAGGCTGGCAGCATCAGTGCTGATGACTAGACAGCTTGTCATCCTGGGCCACAGAGCAACAACTGTTTCCAGGGTTTGGCCAGACTTCATGAGCTCCATTCTTTCCATCCCCTGCTATATGAAATGTGCACGATGCTATTTAACTACTCAGCCCTCTCTTAAAGGAAAAAGGCTACCAGTATTCCAGAGGTACTTGTGCTATGAAGGTTAACTCAGTCATTTTCTTTGTCTGCTGACCTAATAGATGTAAAGATCTCTTTTCAATTTTTTCAATATTAATTAACTTCAAGTGCATTTTGGCAGGCAGGCCAATGTTCTTAACAGGCTACTTGAAATGAGCTCTATTTTTAAGGCTTAAAAATGGGTGGACTTTTTCCAAATCAAAAGGTGAATAGCAGCCAGCCTTTACTTCTAGTATTTATCCAATAAAGTGCCCAAACATTCATAAGCAGTCGGTTGGTTTGGGCCACAAGTTAATTAATGTGCATGTTATTACTCTGCTTATTAGGCAAAGACCATGAAATATACAAAGTCTTACTTTTGCTCTGGTTTCACTGTGCACAGGAAAAGGCAGCTCATTTAGCATTTCAGGAGGGCAGGGATGGAAGTGTAGGACTTGCACACAGGACATCTCTGTCAAGAAGATGACCCTTGTGGATTGGTGGCCTTGTGGCCCTGTGGTCCAGTTTCACATGTAACTGGTATTCACCTGTTTGTCCTCGTTAAAATGTGTGTTAAATGGAGCCAGCCATTCTGACGGACCGGGACTCTGCACATACCTTACTGTACCAGTCAGCTGTCCATCACGAGGACAGAGGAAGTGCTATCGGCAGGAGCACCATTGCTGGAGGGCATGGCAGCCAGCATGTGGATAGGCAAGCAGCCTGAGAGGATGGGCCAGGGGCCGGGCTGAGCTCCGGAGGCTGCACGCGCGAGGCCCGCCGGACACACGTGCAGCGCGCTTTACTGAGCCCCAGTCGAGCTGAGGGCGAGTTGGCAGCGATGCCGAGACTCGTTCCATTTCCACTGACTCAGTCTTGGGTGCACTCCTCTCAGTCCTGGTGTGCGGGTGCCGGCGCGCTGGCCTTTCAGCAGACCACTTGGGTGAGAGAGCCTGGTGTCCTGGGCTGTGTCGGGGCCTCCTGCAGACCTGGGTAGCCCTTGCGCCGTTCCCAGGGGTGCAGTGAGTCATCAGGCCTTGCGCCTGTCAGGAGATGGCTCTGTCTGCCGTGACCTGGCTGGGCTGAGCCCACTGGACCCAGAGCCCAGGGCCATGTCCAGCCCCAGCCACGCTCACTTGTGAAAGTTCGCTTGAGGATGGAGCAGTGTTGGTGCCCCACACAGCTCCCACAGCCTCAGCTCTGGTTTAGGAAGCCTAGAGAGAGAAACCCCAGAACAGACCGCACTCCAGTCTCTGCTTAGTGATGGGTGGGACCCCGGGACTGACGGAGGCCGGGTGCCCTCCTCTGGAGTGCTCAGGACCACTGTCCCTCAGAGAGCTCCCCTTTCGGGTTTTCAGAGCAGGTTTCTCAGCTGATGTGATGCGCTCTGCTTCCCACCTGCCGTCTTCCTGTTAGAAGAGAAGCGAGGCAGGCAGTGCCGAGTCCTGGCAGGACCTGGGCCCTCCCTGCTCCGTGGCTGGAAGCCTAGTGTTCGTGCATGTGCAGAGACCCCGGCCCAGAAGGAATCCCAGCTTCAGGCACATGTCACCTGAGAATAAGAGTGGGGAAGAGCCAGGCATGGAGGTGCACACTGTCACCCCAGCACCCGGGCGGCTGCGGCAGGAGGATCACTGTGAGCTCAAGGCTACCCTGGACTACCGAGCAGAACCCTGTCTCAAAAGAAAAAGAATGGGGCAGGGGAAACGCCTCGCTGGGGGAACACGCCAGAGTGCACACACAGACCGAGCTGGCTGACGCTGCTGGGCACTGTGACCGTGCGCGCGGGCCTTCGCTGGCTGAAACATGACGCGATGTGTGGCTGTAAACTCGGCCGCGTTTCGGAGTGATGGATGGGACCTGCAGGTGGCTGTGTGTGGCCTGACTGGCGGAGGCTGGGGCCTTGTCAGGGGACGTCAGGCGACACCGCTGGGTGGCAGTTCCTGGCAAGACGACCTTCCCACCTCAGCACGCATGCAGTGAATGAGAAAGCAGTCTGCCCGGAGAAAGCGGCAGGGAGGGCCTGGTCTCCCGTGGCCGTGGGCGGGGTGGGCTTTATTTTTCTTCTTGACGCTGCAGTCTGGGCAGCTGCCACGTGAAGTCATCGGCACAGGAGATGGCAAAGACCTACTGCATGAGGTCACCCCCGGCCGGGCCGCTGACCCTGCCGCATACTTTCCAGAGCCATGGCCAGGTTCTCAGGGATGACTTGGTGCCGCAGTCTGGGGGGGTCTGAGACCCCCGCCGGGGTGGGGTCTGGGGGCCGTGTGCAGCTGCGGGCCGCGTTCCCAGGCCCCGTTCCTAGGCCCCGTTCCACCTGCTGTCAGGAAGGAAGTCAGGCCTGTGGCCCGGCTCCCTGCCTGTTTTCTGGCTTGTTGGTCAGAGGCAGATGGGCCGAGGTCTCCCCATTAGGGTGAGGCTGGCCTGGGAGCGAGGTGCTCCTGTGATTCCAGGGTCACCTGCCACCGTGGGCACCAGCACCACTCTCCTGCGCGGGCGAGTGTGGCGTGGAGCCCCTGGGGGTGAAGCCCGGAAGCCCCGGCCTGGCAGGGCAGCCCTGCACTCAGAGCTGGGTGTGGCCAGGGTGGCTCGGATGAGTCAGGGTCCGAGTCCTCTCCCATCCTCAGCTGGGTGGTGGTGTCCCTAGGGCAGGGGAGGCAGCCTCAGTGCGAGGGCCAGGGCTGTTTGTGCCATTGAAGGCCTGAAAGGTTTGCCAGTGTTTCTTTCACAGCGATTGCTCCTTTGTTGTCAGCTTGAGCCCATTAAGTTGTGAAAGCCAGGCCCAGTTAAGCAGTGCTGGGAGTGTCGTGTGCCCAAGGGCCGTGGGAGAGCTCCACAGAGCACGGCCTGAGCCAAGCCCCGTGGGCAGGGGTGGGCTGGGTGCCCGGCCCTCAGCGTCCTGCATACAGGCGCACCCACCTCCCTGGGGCTCCTCGGCCACAGGAACCTCCGAGGACTGCACCTGCAGGGCCCTGTGCTCCTGCCCCAAGGCACAAGGCCGCACTGCGCCACTCCCTGTGAGCTCTGCACGTCATGCCGTGCAGCGTCACTCGGGCCTCCTGCCGTTCAGTGTGTGCTGTGCTTCCTACAGCTGGCGGCCCTACGGGGCCTCCACACCAGTATGGCCACAGATACGAGGCTGCCCTGTGCCGTGACACGTGACTGATGTCACTGGCTACAGGGCCGGTCACACGCGGATGCGTCGCTGGTCAGGACGTTGCTGAGTGGTGTCTGCTATGTTTTCTTCCGTCGCTTGTGCCTGTGGGTGGCACTGTGCACTGGAGGGAAAGGGCCCTCCTCTTCTTGTTCGGTCCTGTTTCCCTCGCCTCCTAGGGCCGGGCGTGGGAACGCCCATGGGACGTCCCCGGGAGGCGGGGGCCCCCAGGTGGAGCCCAGCATGGGCTGGCGGCTATTGGGCCAGGGCCCTGGGTGCTGAGACCTTGCCCAGCACTGCTCTGTGTTCTCCTGGGCTCCGGGAGGGGAGAGCGTGCATTTGCCAGCGCTGGCGGGAGCTGCCTCTGGTGTCCTTTTGCTTCTCCCCAGATCCTGAGCAAGCTGAAAGAGCTGGCACTGGACACTGAGGCAGAGCTGGAGCGGCAGGATGCAGCCTTGGATGGCATCAGCACTGCCGTGGACCGCGCCACCCTGACCATGCACAAGCACAACCAGCGCATGCAGCGGCTCACCTAGGAGGCTGACCACAGGCAGCGTGGCTGGCACCAGAAATGTGTCCCTGGATGGGGCCAGAGCTGCTCTGGGGGCTGCCAGGGGCCACTCACGCACCACAGACCCTGCACCTCCGGCTGGGGGTGCAGCCCTCAGGCCTCAGAGGTACTACTGTCGCGTGGCCATGGCACCCACTCTCCACTGTCAGAGCCTGCGTTTGCCCTGTTCCCCAGGCACCAGAGGAAGACTGAAGTCCTCGGGAAGCCCTTCAGCAGCACAGCCCCTGCCTGAGTCCCGCGCCTTTTCCTCTGGCAGCCCTCACTCCCTGGGTGGCACCGTGTCCAGCCCACGACGAGGGCAGCCCACAGCACCACCAGCCTTACCCAGGAGCACAGGTGTGCGACTCCCTTCCCAGAAGCACTGAGTTCTGTCTGTGCTCAGGTCCCAGGAGCGAAGGCCGCCCCTGCTGTCCTTGCTCCCTGTCTTTGGGAGGCACTTCAGGGCCCTTGGATGGGGCAGGCCTTCCTCCAGCCCATCCCAGAGGCCTGCGTCCACTCACAGAGTCAGCAGGCACGGAGCGTGCTTGGGTCACGTGTGTGGGCCTCACGTGACAGCCCACACCTGTGTGCACGTGCTGACCCGAGCCAGGTGAGCGGCATGTCTACCCCAGATCTGAGCACGCCGTGCACTGGAGCCATTGGTGCTCCTCTCCCCGTTCTTCCTAGAGTCCCAGTAAACCTCTGTGAACACTCCTACCTGCTGTGCTGTGGGACACAAGCCTTTCCTCCTCCATAGCAGCATTGGGGGACGCGATGGATCCCGGCCTCCTCCTTGCCTGCCCCTGGCCCGGGGAGTAAGAACGCACCACTTAGCAGACGTGCTCCAGAACTAGCCGTGTTGTTGGGAATGGCAGGACTTCGTCCTTGTCGGGGCTGAGTGACATTCCACAGAGCACACGCCCCACGCCGTCTTCACCACCCGCACTCCGTGGCTTTACTCCATGTGGAAGCTGCCCGCACAGAAACTGAGTATGGGGCTGGGCTCCCCAGAGGCTGGGGCGGGAGGTAGGAGCAGGGTAGGAAAAGGGACAGAAGCTAGACTTGGAGGGAACAGGTTACAGGGCAACTACAGCGAATCACATAGTGCACCTTTCAAAGTAACAGCAGGAGGGGATCCAGAGTGTTTTCCCCATCGAAAATGATCGCGTAAGGCAGGGAGGTGCCGACTACCCTGGCAGGTCCCTGTGCACCGTAGACGTGCTGAGATCTCACCCTGAGCTCCGTATCACATGCAGTCCCCTGTGCCGCTGAGATGGACGGGCAGTGGGGAGCCATGGCCTCCACAGCGACGTCCCCTCGCCCCCACACCAGCAGGAGGGAAGCCCCTGTCACCTCTGGGGCCGCCATGAGCACCCAGGAACTTGCTGTGTGCACAGGCTCCCCACAGGTGTGGAGCCGCCGCCCCATCCGCAAGGAGCCCTGGCCTTGTCACTGCAAGATGAGTGAAGCAGGAGGTTTAGGGAAGCTGTGCCGATGTGGGTGGACTGCACCCTTGTAGTGTCTTTGAGTGCCGCCGTGGGCGTGGCGGAGGTCCTAGAGGAGCTTCCTGGCAGGGAGGACAGCGTGGGGTGTGGCCATCCATCCTCCAGACCCCGGGAGGACACCAGCAGAGGGTTACAGGCTGGACCAGGGTCTGCGTGCCAGGTGAGGCCCCAGAACCCTGCAGATGTGGACGGGTGAGTCTGGAGTTGGGGCTGTGGGCACCGCTGTGTTCCCGCCATCTAGGGCGTCTGTCTCTCGGAGCCCCTGCCTCACCAGAGGTCAGACTGAGTTTGCTGAAGGCGCATAGGTTATGAACCTCAGCACCGGAGTCGCAACCTGGCGGTGTGAGTTCACTGGGCGGCATCAGTGGCTCTACCAGGAGGGAAGAACTGGAGCTGACCACCTGCTGTGGGGCCTGCAGGGCCTCACCAGGTGAGGCGTCCTGTTCATGGACTCCGGGCCTCCAGAACTCCAAGCCCAATACAACTTACAAATGACCCAGCGCTGTGGTTTGAATCATGTGGGCCTTCTGAGACTCACACTGAGTTTAACCCCACTGCGCGGAATGGGGAGGTGACGAGGTCTCTGCCCTCAGGAATGGTGAATGAGTGGGATCACCAGTAGGTCTGGCTAGGTCTCACCAGGGGATGCCCTGGGCTGCTGACGACTCTGCCAGGGAGAAGGCGTCACCACACCCAGCCTTCTACCTCGCCCAGACTGTGGGGCACAGTGAACCTGTTCCTGCAGCTCCCAGCCTGGCGTGGCATTAGCCCCTCCACCTTCAGTACCTCTCGTGTGCAGGGTCACCGGAGAGGCAGACGCAGACCTCAGAGGCACCTGCCTTGGGTGCGCAGGAGAATAACACGTGTCATAGGATCATCCACTGTGGTCCTGAAGCCAGGCCATGGATGAGACTCGCTCTCTGGCCACCTGGCTGTGGCTTGCTGCTGAGGCATGGGTACTCAGGTGACAGGTTACGGCTTGTGCCTGGAGCGTGGGCTGCAGGGTAAGGCAGCTCCCCCCACTGCCAACAGCTTAGGGCACAGCACTTGTAGTACGGGTCCCCCAGAGATCAAGGGGCAGAAACCAGGGCTCCTTGCAGGAAGTGTTTGGGCGGTGGGCTGCTTCCAGCAAGGAATGCTGTTGTGGGCCATTGGGTGTGGCTGTGGGATGAGAGATGGTATATTCAGACACCAAGCCCCAGGCCTGAGGGGCCTGCTTGGGAGCTTGTAATGACTTCTGGGCAGGCTTCCTGTAGGAGGCAGATTTGAGCTGCACTTCGGGTGAGTCTCAGAGGTGCAGGGTGCAGGAGAACTGCTCCGGGGGCATCAGGGCCATCCTGCGGGGGTGGGGACGGTGCTCCAACTGGGCCCTGGTCATCACTTGGAGGCAGCATATCCTGCGGTGGGGTGCCTGCGGGACAGACCTGATCCTGGGAGGACTCTGCACCTTCAGAGAACAGAGCAGCACCAGCCGGAGCCATGCTGCTGCAGGCCTGAGGAGAGCCCCACAGAGCTGGGCCAGGAACCACAGTGAGGACAGGGAGACGGAGATGGCACAAACAGGGCTGCGGCACTGGACGTCACTTGGCTTCGGAGGCCACTCACACACTGCCTGTCTTCCCCGTGTCCCATCCCTCAGGACACGGCAGGTGGGGCACACTGGGAGGTCCTGGTGGACATGGGGAGAAGTTGCTTCCCAGCCAGGGCTGAGAGGGAGGGCATGAAGCAGGGGAGGCACAGGAACCAGCAGGGGGACAGAGAAAAGGGCTGGGCCCCGGTGTCCTGTGGATACCACCAAGCATAGCAAATGGGAACAGCGTTAAGGAGGCTCACTTGATGTGATGCCCTCCCAGACAAGGTGGTGCGTGCCTGCAACCCCAACACTCAGGAGGCTGAGGTAGGAGAATCGCTACAAGTTCAAGGCCAGCCTGGGCTATGTAGTGAGCCCCTGTCTCAAAAAACAAAAAATAGGCACGATGCCCAGTGCCTGGACTTAACCTTGTGTCAGCCGTTCAGAGCACACAGCCAGCAGAGGGAGCCGCTGGGCAGAGAAGGCTGCCCACGGCCTGGTCACCAGGGGCAGAGCCAGCCCTGCAGCATCCACGCCTGGACACATGCCTTGGCTGAAGCACACCTCAGCCACAAGGGAAGCCAGAGGATGGTGTGGGTACACAAGGGACAGGCCAGTGTCAGACTGCACTGGGAGATGGGACCCCAGGTCCCCTGTCACAGGACTCACACTGGGGGATCTCCCTCGTTTGCCCCCTGTCATGGGACTCACTGGTGGAATTGGCGCTGCTTGTTTCCTCTCCCTTCCCAGGCTGTCATATGACCTCTCATAATGCTCAGTATTTCATTGTCTTTCTTCTAGTCTGGTATTCAAGAGGGTTTACCAGGTTGCTTTTTTGGGCAAAATTCTTTCCACAGTCTGTGAACTAGACAAGTTTGCTACCAGAATCCTGTGATTGCATCAGCACATGACCATAGTACTCACCATTTTTATCAAAAAAGAAAAAAATGGAGTTTAGAAAGGAGTCCCAACTTGTCCTGTCCAGTGAATCTTTGAGGGCATTAGCATCATCCTTCCACCCTGGCAGTAAAGAGCTGAATGTCACAGAAAACCAACTCTCTTCGAGCTGCCTGGAAACTTGTGTCACAGGGTGAACCCTGCCTCCACAACTGGGGAGACCAGTGGCAGACAGATTTCCTCCCACTGGAGCAGAAGCCCATGCTAGAGGCCCTCCAGAGCCAGAGTTTAGTAACAGAACCTGAGCCATATTTGCCAAATTGCTGGAGGCTGACTGTGCACCCATCTGGCCTTTGGCAAGTTTGCCTCCCAGAGCTCAACCAGGTTCTCACAGCAAAGTTGGCCAAAGATCCCTTTGATTCCTGGCAGAGGGAGATTTCAGTAGCTACTCTGAAGTATGCCTGTGGGCTCTTCAGACTATCTGCTCAAGAGAAACATTTTAGCAGGGCCTGACCCACCTGGAGGAAAAGAGATGCCCAATTCCATGCGCTTCTAGCAATCCATTCCTACCCAAGGGGCTGGGAGGCCTGAGAAGCACTTGTGAGGTTCATAGCCCAAGGACACTGACTCAGACTTTGTCATAAGCCTAAAAAACAGTACCCTCCTCAGCATGTTACCACTGCATTACTAACATCCTATTTACAGCAGTTTTTACCCAACCCATCATGTCCACTCTTCGATACAAAACAGCAAGGCATCCCAAAAGGAAAAAGGTGCAGATTGAGGAGGCTGAGCCACCATCAGAACCAGTCAGACATGGTGGGTATGTGGAAATTATCTGGTCGATACTTCTTAAAAACTACAATGAATATGCGAATGGCTTTTACACTGAAGTGTATGACACACAAGAACATACAAGTACTATAAGCAGGAACAGGAACATTCTAAGACCAGAAGCACTGTTAATAGAACTGAAGAGAACCGCTGGTAGGCTTATCAGACTGGAAAAGCATC